CCTTGTTGCATTTTGTCATAAAATACCATTATCGGGAATTAGGATTATCGTTAGACATAGGTAGATTCCGGTTTTATTTTAAAGTCTTTCCCCCCGATAGAATTTTCTTATTTTTCAGTATTTATAAGATGAGTCACTATTTTATATAATAGGCAAATTTCGTGATGTACAAATTGATAGAAAAGTTTCAATTCCTTGTTGCATTTTGTCATAAAATACCATTATCGGGAATTATGATTATCGTTAGACATAGGTAGATTCCGGTTTTATTTTAAAGACTTTCCCCCCGGTAGAATTTTCTCAATATTTGATATTTGTAAGATAATTCACTATATAATATAATAAGCAATTTTCGTGATGTACAAATTGATAGAAAAGTTTCAATTCCTTGTTGCATTTTGTCATAAAATATCATTATCGGGAATTATGATTATCGTTAGACATAGGTAGATTCCGGTTTATTTTAAAGTTTTTCCCCCGGTAGAATTTTCTTATTTTTCAGTATTTATAAGATGAGTCACTATTTTATATAATAGGCAAATTTCGTGATGTACAAATTGATAGAAAAGTTTCAATTCCTTGTTGCATTTTGTCATAAAATACCATTATCGGGAATTATGATTATCGTTCGACATAGGTAGATTCCGGTTTTATTTTAAAGTCTTTCCCCCCGGTAGAATTTTCTCAATATTTGATATTTATAAGATAATTCACTATATAATATAATAAGCAATTTTCGTGATGTACAAATTGATAGAAAAGTTTCAATTCCTTGTTGCATTTTGTCATAAAATACCATTATCGGGAATTAGGATTATCGTTAGACATAGGTAGATTCCGGTTTTATTTTAAGTTCTTTCCCCCAGGTAGAATTTTTTTATTTTTCAGTATTTATAAGATGAGTCACTAATTTATATAATAGGAAAATTTCGTGATGTACAAATTGATAGAAAAAATTCAATTCCTTGTTGCATTTTGTCATAAAATACCATTATCGGGAATTATGATTATCGTTAGACATAGGTAGATTCCGGTTTATTTTAAAGTTTTTCCCCCCCGGTAGAATTTTCTTATTTTTCAGTATTTATAAGATGAGTCACTATTTTATATAATAGGCAAATTTCGTGATGTACAAATTGATAGAAAAGTTTCAATTCCTTGTTGCATTTTGTCATAAAATACCATTATCGGGAATTAGGATTATCGTTAGACATAGGTAGATTCCGGTTTATTTTAAAGTTTTTCCCCCCGGTAGAATTTTCTTATTTTTCAGTATTTATAAGATGAGTCACTATTTTATATAATAGGCAAATTTCGTGATGTACAAATTGATAGAAAAGTTTCAATTCCTTGTTGCATTTTGTCATAAAATACCATTATCGGGAATTAGGATTATCGTTAGACATAGGTAGATTCCGGTTTTATTTTAAGTTCTTTCCCCCCGGTAGAATTTTTTTATTTTTCAGTATTGATAAGATGAGTCAGTATTTTATATAATAGGCAAATTTCGTGATGTACAAATTGATAGAAAAGTTTCAATTCCTTGTTGCATTTTGTCATAAAATACCATTATCGGGAATTATGATTATCGTTAGACATAGGTAGATTCCGGTTTTATTTTAAAGTCTTTCCCCCTGGTAGAATTTTTTTATTTTTCAGTATTTATAAGATGAGTCAGTATTTTATATAATAGGCAAATTTCGTGATGTACAAATTGATAGAAAAGTTTCAATTCCTTGTTGCATTTTGTCATAAAATATCATTATCGGGAATTATGATTATCGTTAGACATAGGTAGATTCCGGTTTATTTTAAAGTTTTTCCCCCGGTAGAATTTTCTTATTTTTCAGTATTTATAAGATGAGTCACTATTTTATATAATAGGCAAATTTCGTGATGTACAAATTGATAGAAAAGTTTCAATTCCTTGTTGCATTTTGTCATAAAATACCATTATCGGGAATTATGATTATCGTTCGACATAGGTAGATTCCGGTTTTATTTTAAAGTCTTTCCCCCCGGTAGAATTTTCTCAATATTTGATATTTATAAGATAATTCACTATATAATATAATAAGCAATTTTCGTGATGTACAAATTGATAGAAAAGTTTCAATTCCTTGTTGCATTTTGTCATAAAATACCATTATCGGGAATTAGGATTATCGTTAGACATAGGTAGATTCCGGTTTTATTTTAAAGTCTTTCCCCCCGGTAGAATTTTTTTATTTTTCAGTATTTATAAGATGAGTCACTAATTTATATAATAGGCAAATTTCGTGATGTACAAATTGATAGAAAAAATTCAATTCCTTGTTGCATTTTGTCATAAAATACCATTATCGGGAATTATGATTATCGTTATCCATAGGTAGATTCCGGTTTTATTTTAAAGTCTTTCCCCCTGGTAGAATTTTTTTATTTTTCAGTATTTATAAGATGAGTCAGTATTTTATATAATAGGCAAATTTCGTGATGTACAAATTGATAGAAAAGTTTCAATTCCTTGTTGCATTTTGTCATAAAATACCATTATCGGAAATTATGATTATCGTTAGACATAGGTAGATTCCGGTTTTATTTTAAAGTCTTTCCCCCAGGTAGAATTTTTTTATTTTTCAGTATTTATAAGATGAGTCACTATTTTATATAATAGGCAAATTTGGTGATGTACAAATTGATAGAAAAGTTTGAATTCCTTGTTGCATTTTGTCATAAAATACCATTGTCGGGAAATAGGATTATCTTTATACATAGGTAGATTCTTTTTTTATTTCAAAGTCTTTCCCCCCGGCAGAGTTTTCAAATTTTTCGTTATTTGTTGGATAATTGGATATATAATGTAATAAGTCGATTTCATGGCGTACAAAGTATTAGAAGTGCCGAAATCAGACTTCAAAGCCATCAAGACAATATATCTCTTTGGGTAAATGTTACTTAATTTGCTTTTGAATTTGCTTGTTCAATCTTTATTTTAAAAGATGTATTTGTGCAAATCAGATTCGATTTGTTCATACCTCATTCTTATTGATGGAAATGAATAGGTTTGATATTTCGCTTAGATATAAATTTTTTTTTGTTGTGAAACCTTCCTGTGAATTCATGCTTGTCCACCTATATATCTGGCAACAGTGATTAGAGATATCATTGTTCAGCTGATTTCGATTCATTTTCCCGGCAATTGTGGCTATTTTGTGCCATCAATTGCCGGACTTTGGGAGGTTCTGGCGCTGAGTTAAACATGGATATATGTAATTTAGTAATCTGTGAACGTTGAGGATGCCTTAACTTACGGTGAAACATTGTCAGAACGTCAGCCCACACTCGTGTGACGCTAGCCCACACTCGTGGGATGCCAGCCCACACTCGTGTGACGCTAGCCCACACTCGTGTGACGCTGGCCCACACTCGTTTTTGTCAGGCCATACTAGAGGTAACTGGGCCGTGCTTGGTATTGTATTTGCGTTGTGTATATCAGATATGGTCTCTATATTGACATTGTCAGAGTCACCGAGTTTTTATGTAATTACGTTTATAAAGTCAGTAAAATAGTTGGTTAACCCCTTGACGTCAGGCTGAGTGTGGGCTGAGCGAGTGTGGGCTGGGGTAACTTTGGTTTATTATGCATGTTTATCAAATGTAGAAAGAAATGCCATTGTTTTATTGTCTACGACTAACTAAGTATAAGATTTGGTTGCATCGAAATGTAAAAATTTTTCAGAATGTGATAGGATAGGATTTACATATTTATCCCGGGGGAGAGGAAAGCCGATAAGACGGCTTATCCGTATGGCGAACCACGGCCTCTCGTCCGGTTACCATTCCAAGTCGGGTATGGGATTAGTTATACTGTTTGTTTTCGGAAGCATGGACTTGGTGGTGGAGGAAGCCGTAACCGACCAGGGGTTACGTGAACCACCCAACGACGGCGAGGAGTCCAGCAATCCTCACGCACATAACCGTCCCTGCATGGGATTCGAACCCGCGAACCCACGCAGAGTAATTAGAGGTACGGTGGCGAGCGTATTCCTAACGCTTAGCCCGTTGAGCCACACCGCCGCGCCGATGTCAAGCTTAAATATCTGAATGTCAGAATGTAAAGAACACAATTAAAAACGCTATAAAATGTTGAAGTGGAGCAAGTTTTACAAAAGAACTAAATTAATTGTGCAACTATGTATAAATTCTGGTATTTATAAAATGTGTATGTATGTATAAGATGTGGGGGATTGTGTAGTTTCGTACCTCACGTACTTCTAGTGGGAGTAGCATAACAATTTTTTGATATGTCAATCCTAACCCTCATCTGATTACGCCATCCAAAAATTAAATCACTACGACATCACAATCACGTCAGAGAGCTTGCCAAATATACGCACTATCGACCGAAATGGCATTGGCGCCGACGATAAAAGAACTGATTGACGTTATCGGTCTCTCTCATATTGGAATCGTTGCGACGAGAGAACTAACTGTTCGATTTCGGGTGCTCGTTTGCACGTCTTGGATGGCAGTTCGTATAGTTTGAAGGGCTCTATTACGTCACTGTGACGTCGTAATGACGTAATTTTTGGGGGTCTCGTGTAGTTTCGTACCTAACGCACTTCTAGTAGGCGTAGCATAACGATTTTTTAACATGCCAATCCTGACCCTCACCTGACTACCTCATCCAAAAATTACGTCACAATCACGTCTTAGGGCTTGCCAAATACTCGTACGATCGCCCGAAATGGCATCGGCGTCGACGATAAAGAACTGACTGGTCTCGTGTAGTTTCTTACCTAACATACTGCTCTATGACGTGATTGTGACGTCGTGGTGACGTAATTTTTGGATGGGGTAGTCAGGTGAGGGTTAGGATTGGCATGTTAAAAAATTGTTATGCTACGCCAACTAGAAGTAAGTTAGGTACGAAACTACACAAGACCCTTTATAACTATCCTATATCATATTATCAATGTAGGTCTACTGTTCATAATTCTTTTTTACTAATATTTTATTTATGTTCTTTTTCATTATCAAAACAAATAAATGGATAATTCAGATACGAAGTTAATTCGATGTCGTCTTCCAGTGAAGGAATCACTGCAGAAAAAATTTCTTGTCCTTCCAAAGAGTGTAAAAAGACTTTCAAAAATGCAACTGCTCTTGAGTTCCATATTCAAGTCATGCATAATATGTGTAATAATAACAATACAAAGGTAAGTTTGTATTCCGTATTCCTTAGTGACTTGCTAGGCTTACTATTTTTTAATTAATGGTTGCAATCTGAAAGTTTGACTTATTTACCCGTCAGGCAGTAGGCTACACAATATTGCAATGTACAGATGTCGGCCCATTGTACTGTTATAGACAACCATACAATTTTTTCAGAAATTGCAGCGTACGCATGTTCGCATTTCATATTTCTTTTCCATATTTATACAACGTGAACCAGCCTATAATAACATCTCGCCTGTTTATTATGCGTTTTTTTCAGCGCCAGTAATCAGTATTTATTTTCTTCACCATAAAGAAAATACACTTGAACAGAAACTTGAATGTGGCATTTTAGGGTGAAAGGTGGCGCGAGAAACCAGTACTGGTTTAAGGAGCTGTGACACCCATGATAAAGTCTAACATATATATCATGAGAAACCGCCACCATTGACATCTTGCTGAAATGCTAGGGAAGTAAACAAGTGAGTCAATGCTCAGAGAGACATATATTGCTATGATGTCACAAATTTGTTTTATTTGTGTTTTTAATGCATTACCTCACAAATGTGAAATAAAAAAAAGGTGCTTTCAAAATAAAGAAGCATCTGCGGTCCAAATTCAAAACCCGAAAGCTCACATGTTTTTTTTTCAAATTGTGAACTGATCAAGTTCATCATTTTCTAAAAAAATATGACTTTTTGTAACACAACCGGCTGAAAAATATGACTTTTGTGAGGGAACCAGCTGACAAAAAATTTCAATCCCACCACTGCCTATAACGTTATACTATCACAGATCCTCAGTGAGGACAAATGATACTGAATTGCAATTTGAGTCATGAAAAGTTGTGAAAAGTACTGTAATAGTGCCCATTTCGCCTTAGTCAGATAGAAAGAAATTTAGCAGTCAAACAAACTCGAAGAGACAGCAAATTTATCTGTTTCCCTGCCAATCTGGTTTGACTTTGTCTGTGACTTCACCTGCTCCCATTTATGTGCATTTTTCTCTTAATTTTGTGTACCATACTCAGGTTATAAACGCAAGCAAATATGGAGGAAAGGAAGGCAAAGCCAGAAAATACTTTTGTCCGAATATGAATTGTACCCACAGATCACAAGACAAGGATTTATTGCCTTTCAAAACATATCAAGCTTTGAGACAAGTATGATCAACTTTTTATCTAAATGGCAACACTATGAGCAGTCCTATAAGCAAAGGCGTATTCTTTAGAATATTTACAATGTTCCATATTGACATTTTTACCTGAATTTTGTTGGTCTGAACGGAATTTGGTGAATGTGAAAGAATATCGCAACGCAATCAATTAGTGCCAAATGAATTATTATCAATAATGGCAGCAATCATGCAATTTTACATTTTGTTTCGGGTGTTCAAGGTATCAGATGTGCGAGCTGTAGAATGATAAATCTAAAAAAATCTTATTCAAAAACGTCAAAGTTTGAAATTCATCTTAGTCATTTTTGTACTTTGAATATATGGTATATTCATTGATCATTGATACATCATCTTAATTTATCACTAGTTTTCCTAAAGAAACTGAAAATATTATATTACAAATTTGAATTTCTACAGAATGTTTGTATATCCCTGATACTAATTGTCTTACTCTTAAACATTTCATATCACTGACTTATATCTTTCAGCACTACTTCACCCACCATGCAGAAAAAAATCTACCATGCACAAAATGCCATAAAAAATTTGCTGAAGCAAGTTTGAGGGATAAACATGAAAGAAATTGTAACATCAAATTTGTATGTTCTTGTGGTATTGCTTATCGAGGAAAAAGAGGATTTATGTCTCATCTGAGTTTATCTAAGCATGAATGTCCGAGCGCTTTAAAGTAAGTTATTATATGAACATTGCAAGTACTCCGACATTTTGAATTAAAATTAAACATCAGCTCAGCAATTGAGAATTGGGTAGTGAACTAGTGATACATGAACAGTTATTAAAACCTATGGTTTGGTTAAGAAATTCAAAGCGCGCCACAATTGCAATTAGCATATAAAGCACAAAAAGCCAACATAAAACAGATTCAAGTGACTAGAGAGAGATGATCCAGGGTCTATTGCATGCGATCTGCTTGAAAAAATTAAACACGTTTACTTGTATAACTAATATCAGCATTTATTGGTTTATGTATCATTTTCAGGGAATATTTCATGCCTAAAAAACTGAAACGAATACAACAAAATCAAACACTGTGTTATTTAAAAAGAGAGAAGAAAAGGGCCCAGTCCCAATTCTGCCGAAAGGAGGTTTCCGTCCTATGCCTTCATCAATGAATAACTCTTTCAATCATGTGTCACAAGGAGAATACACTGGGATCAAGAAAATTTCCATAAAGAGATCAAGTTCGAAAATTCTACCCAAAATTGATTGTCTGAAGTATTATGTGATAAATTCCATTCATCCATCTGTTGTTGTGCCTCCAGTATGTGTGCCAAATACTTCAAGCAATGTTACTTGCATTAGTGGTCTTGAAGCGAGTGGTGTTGCCTTTGATACTGTTTCAACAGCTCTTGTTTCTTCTGGAATTAATTGTCGTGATGCTACTAATAGATATCCCAGTCAGGTGGATCATGCTTCCCAGTCAAATGCACACAATACGAAATCAGCCCTGACAAGTTTAACAGTTCAACAACATGTTGCTCACGATTCATCTTGTCAAACTGAGGAATTTATGGCTTGGCTTGATACAGAATCAGCAAAATGTAGCAGTGTTGAGCCCGTGAGCTCACACATATCCACTCAAACATTGCAAGATTGTTCTGAAATGCTGGTTACAAATCCTGGGGATGAGGATCATCTCAATGTATTATCAAATATGACACAAACAGAAACACAAACAGATGATGATTGGCTTTCCATTTTGCTGCAAGAGCCAGAAATGATTTCGGCAGAAACTTTGAATGCGGAATGTCAAACTCTGTCGAATCCATTACAAATTAGTAATTTTAATGATAATTCTAATAATAATTGCGGTCAACCACAGCAGCATGGACAGAAAACTTCCAGTGGAGCAGAAGCTTTGTATGTTTTTGATACCATTTTGGATGATGCCTGCAATATGCAGACTCAAACTAGTTTTATTGATGTGATGGCGGACGGTGCAACACAAACTGGCCTGCGAGCAATGAGCTTGATCAGCGACAATGCATCCGTCATGTTGGATTTTTGTAATGATAATGAAACCCAAACAGATGCCACTAAAACTTGCTCAGTGGTAAATAGTGCACATACTCAGACAATTTTTCAGTGTGAATCTGTTTTATTTTCTGATCTACTCAACATGGAAACACAAACTGACTTCTGCTTTTCCAACAATTTGGAACTGGTAGCAGCTGAAACACAGACTTTTGCAAAAGTTTAAATGCTTTTCAATAGATTATTCAAAAGTTTGAATGCGAAAAGTATATTGCCATCTCGTCTCACTAATTACTAAATTATACCATTTAGGACAGGATTCACATATTAGTTCACATATTAAATATTTTACATTACAAAAAAAATGGTGCTCCAGAAGCATGTGTACCAATATGAAAGTAACTAATTTTGTTCGCCTACTTTATATCAAGTTGTGTAAATGGACTAAATTCTATCGGTAGGGGGATATTCACTTGTGTAACACAGACAATTCCCGAACTTTTAATAGAACAAAAATAAGGAGAATCGTAACCTAACCTGGTACACATACTACGAGTATCGAAAAAACAGCCCACATAGTAAAAGCAGTTATGGAAATACTTTATTTTACAGAAAAATTAATTCACATAGTAAATAGCAGACGAAGGAAACATTTTGCATTGCAGAAAAAATAGCTCACATAGTTAATAGCAGTCATGAAATATTTCTCACTATTGATTACAAAAGTATAATTGCATCCAAATCAACAGTATCTATACGACTATATAAAGGATCGTTAAAATTAAATAATGTGCAAGAATCATATTGATAACAAAATGTATTCTAATCAATTTTAATATATCTAAAACAAAATCTTCATAAATATTTTTTGTAAATTTACAATACATGAAAATATGTGAAACAAACTCAGGTTCGCCATTACATAATACACACATTTCATTCCCTGCTTTTCTTCCAATTTCTGGCTTTTGTTTTCAATGGCAAGATATCCCAGAGTAATTTATAGTTAAAATCAGTATTTTTAATAAGTAAACGAATAGCTCGCAGAGCCATGTGATTCATATGGAGCACAGAGCTAAGACTGAGAGAGGCCGTGGTTCGCCATATATTTAGGCCTTCTTTTCGGCTTTCCTCTCCCCTTGGATAAATATGTAAATCCCATGTTATATCAATTAATAAATACATAAATAACCGCACTCCTCTCGGCGACTGGTTCATATTCTGTTCTGTAGATACGTTTTCTCTCTGATAGATATGCATTCCCAATAAGCATATGCTCTTAGTTGTATGCTTTCAGCGTACCATACTTCGAAACCCAAAATCAAATATGTATTGAAGAATTAAAGACCTCAAGTCACTTTAATACGGCCAATTTCGCACCCGACTCGACTGAAGCAAGGGATTTTGGCAGCGAGCAATGCGTTTTCTTAATATGCAACGAACCATTTAGCTGGACGACGTAAAAATGCAGGGAACAATGCCACAATGAGCAAATCTTCGCAAGTTTCCACTCATTGTATATATGCTCATTGTATCAACTTACATCCGAGTGCGCAGGCAAGAACTTAACGATACAGAACCACGTAATTAACCCGGTGCATTTTGTTATCTAACGTTACCAAATCAAATTTTGCTTTGTTTTCCGGCCAGATTTTTTGGCCATGTAATTACGATGGAAATCTGACCGTGCGCGAGCTATGTGCGTGATGACGTCGGCATTCGTAAGTGGTCTGACCAATGACATTAAACAACATGATGCGCAACTCCGGCATTTTTGGCCGAAGATCGTATTCGATAGCACGCTCCAATGCACATACTTGACGAGACGAAAACGAGCGAATGTGTGCTGCTTTCAAGGCATAGCACGAATGGTGTTCGTGCCTGCTTTGACAGTTGTTGTCGATTTTAATGATATATTGGAAAATTGAAGGTAAAAAGAAATCGGAAAAAAGTAAGGTAAATACTATTGCTGTATATCACACTCGGGCATCGCACTGTTAAGTACATGTGGGAAAGCCAGCTTTTGTCAAATACTACGAAGTTATTAAATCAGTACGGTACGTAGTTGCCCATTTGCCGAAATTGCTTATTTACTTACCCTTTATGGTTTCAAATAGTTCATACACCTCCATTTCGATTTTTTTTAATCAGTGAGGATATATACTCATTGCTGTAACATACTATTGCTCATTCACTTTTATTTGCGTATTGAATCAAAGGGTTAACAAGTTCACCTAACATTTCACTCATACCCGTCTATATTGTATAGTCTGATCTCTCAAGTATTTGGAGCCACCGATGCTTGTAATTTTCTGACTAAACCCCTTTATTAGTTGGTTTATATACCAAATTCAGTAAAACATTTTTTACATAAAACATGAGATATTGGATTTATTAGCTTTTCCAATCTAAATCATATAGACTGCTTTATTTATTCTGAACGAAAATTATTGAATCTCCTCTCTTTCCTCAGATGTGAAAGTTTTGGAAAAACCTGTCTAAGCATTGTGGGACTCCTACAGCACAAGAGGCAATAGCAAAAATAGTAAGTATATCAATCAAGAAATTAAGCCGACATAAAGCAAAACTTTTAACTATTCGTCCAACCTCAATTTCCTAATATTTATTCACAGGACAACTGAAGCAGAAGGGGATATTTCAGAAGTCTGGCGACATATCAGTGACAGTGTGATTCCAAGAAATGCAATCAGAATACTCCATAAATGTTTGCAATAGAAGAACAACCTATGGAGGCATGCAAAGACATATGAACCTCCGGTAGAGTTGTGTACGGCCCATACATCCCGCAGGGCTTGAGGAAAATAACTAAAAATTCCGAAGCGTAAGATTGCATAAGCGGTCTTCTTTGCAAAAAGGCACAAAACATGCCAGACATACTTAAAACAGCTTTGGAAAATGAGGATTATGGGTCACTCACTACACCTGTGTTATATTTGATTCATCAACTTTTGGTAGTACTAAAGAAGAAATTCAGGAAAGGGTATAATCATGATTCATGATAAAATACTGTTATATATTTTGGACAACTTCAATCTAGACCAGGGATATCAAACTCGCGGCCTCAGAGAACTTCCAGTGAGGCCCTCGAACGCTTAACAATAATTGTAATAGTATTTTGGAGTTTTTTTTTTTATCTAAGTGTAATAGATTTTTCAACCTTTTTAAAGTGAAATTGAATATTCACACAGAAAGCAATTTACTGAAAGTAGTTTTGGAAAATTAATTTTTTTTTGTTCACATTTTGACCCAATTAAGAATACACATCAAGCTAGCAAAAGAATACTTGAATAAAACACTTGAGTGAATAAATTAAACGCAAAGTACATGAAGAAGGTGGCATTTTCGAAGAAAATGGGAGTTGCAATATTTCTGCATTTCACAAAATTTTGAAGCACATTGTTTAACTTGTCATATTTCCATCAGTACAATGAAAAACACAATAAGCTCAGCAGTCAATATGACAATTTCGAAGACCAACTTCGAACAGAAAATTTCCATGTGTTTGTATATTAATATAAATATACAACGACTTAGTTATTAAAAATCAATATCAATAATAATTCAAGCAATCCTATACTATGCAATGTGGCGCGAAATGTCTTGTCGAAAATATCTGTCATTTGTTTTTCTACTGATCTATTCATGAAATGATAAAAGTAACTTTTTTGCATTACTGGAATTAATTAAACATTCGCAAAGTTCCAGATTAACCCATGATCATGTGACCTCGTTGGTACCATAAAATCATTTCAGCTTGGCCTTAGTATGCTGGTGACACAAAGAGATGCCAAACGTCAGGACAAATGTAATTAAAAAAACATTGAGTTTATACTGTAGTATTTTTGTTAATTTTAAGTCCATATATTTAGATTAAGTCATTTTTAGTGTATGTATTATCCTTTCCTTATCCAGGGCTTGTTCAAAAATGATTTTGATGGTTGTATAAAGAATTTTATGATTTTTTGTAATAAATACAGTAACTTGCAATAATAGTGGAATGCAAATATTAATATGTAATTGCATTTAAAATTAAAGAAAATAATAAAACTTAATCAACTGTTTAGTTGCATCACAATATATGTCACAAACTAAAACTATCTGAAAAACATATCTTTCAAGTATACATTATCAAAAAGTGTTTTTGGCCCTTTTTACAATTTCCAAAATGCAATGCGGCTCTCGAAAACCCATGCGTTTGACACCACTGATCTATTCTAGACAATTCAAGCATTGCTTTGGGAAATAATATCACTTCAATTAAATTGAAAAAAATCTCGCTACATAAATACAAAATCGTTGCTATCATAAAGGTAAACCAATTCAGCCACTCGGAATATATTGGCCTTCACAAAGCAATGGAGGCAAAATTGAGAGTTCGTGAGCTATGAACTTTTGTTCTTTTCTTTGTCTTGAACTTTTCATACTCCACACTCCACAGCCCCTATTAATTTTTTTTTAATTTTAATTACCATGTGATGGTCATACATATCTTTAACTTGTATTTTCTGTCATGATGTATTATCTCAATGTGTCAAACCGTAGTAGTATATATTTACGGTCAAACTTTTGATTAGTGTGCATATTTTGCTTCCAGAAGACATAAATGTACAGTATTGTCTTGTTTATTACCTCAGCTTGGAGTATTGACAAGAAAAAGGTGCCCGTAAAACTCTTTGTTATAATCAGAATTCACAATTAATAGGAATCATAAACAGCCAACATTCAATGAGAATTATATGCCAAATCCCTCAGAATAAATTTGTCTTCTAAAATCGGAGGAAGGCAAAACATATAGGTAGTTTCCATTCATACAAGTCTTTCAAGAAGACTTACTCGAGCCAAACTAAATGAGCATCGTCAGATGATCGGTAAGGCTGCAAGTTGAATCAGCCCTGCAAACTCCCGCATAGAAGATATTAATTAGTGGGCTATGAACTAAATTCCTACATTTAGACACAAACCTATCTACGAGGCATTATGTACCAGCAATGTTACCTACGGTTAACTAAATATGTAATTATGTCTAATAAATTAACCTACTAAAGCAAGTTCGATAGGTGCAAACTAGTGTTATTGAATTGTATCACAGCACCGTTAAGAGAAGTAAAAACAGTTTTGCTGTTTTGTATGACACTCTCTTTAAATGAAATTTCAATGTTTAAGCGCAAACATTAAAATTACTAACTTTTAACTTTGTCATTATCTGCAAAATGTTCCACAAAATCTTTACGCTATCGCGTTTGTAATCTTCTCTGATAAAAAAAAAAAACGTCTATGATGTCCAGATTTACTCTTTACAGCTTGTCTGCCATTCCAGCTTTCCAAGTGAGCAAAACTTCTTAGATATAGAGATTATTTTCTTTCGTTACAGGCGCAAAAGGCAGGCACTACACGTAAAGAAGACGCCGGGTAGCAAAAGCGAGCGGAAAACGGTCGCGAAAGGCTACGAAAAATATGTGCATTGGAGCGTATCATGAAATACAATCTTTCGCATGTAGTCTTATGGAGTGACGTCAGAGTTGCCTATCATGTTGTTTAATGTCATTGGTCTGACCAAGTGTGCAGTTTGCCATGTAGATGTGCCATAGATGTCTGCCGCCGGTGCGATCTTGCTTGTGACCGTTTTTTACACTTGTGAAATTTTTTCAAGCAACCCCCCATACTTTACTGACATATTCGAATCAACTCTGTCTAAATTTGCAAATAAACATTTTTGATACTAGGAGATTTTAATATAAATTTACTTTTAAGGTCAAGTAATATCCAAACTGAAAATTATGTCAATATGCCTAAATCCACAATGCTGTTTCCTTAATAAACAAGCCTACGAGAGTTAGTGATACATCGGCAACTCTTATTGACCATATATATACTAACATGACAAACTTACAACTTAATTCTTATGTTATACTGTCGGATATCTCTAGCCACTTCCCAATTATGAACTGTGTTAGTCGCATGAAACCAACTTACTCAAATCACTGCATACTGTTAAGGGATATGTCATCTTTTTCGACCGACTCCTTCCATGAGAAGGAACAGTGCATTAATAACCAGTTTGCCAGATACAACTGAATGCACAAAACTTTGATATTGTTTTTGATGAATTTGTGAGGTCACTTGTTGGCTTGATCGACCGCCATGCCCTCTACGTCCACATTTGATTGCAACTGATTTTAACAAATACTCTCCCAAATTTTCAGATTAAATGAACAGTTATAAGTCTTATTTTCCTGAGTTTGTCCACTGCAAATGAACGGATAATAGAAATATCAAATCTGAAAGTTAGAAATGCAATAGGGCCTGATAACATTCCAGCACTCCTTCTTAAATTAGTTTCTGATCTCATTGCAATTTGTTTGGCAGAATTTTTTAATTGCTTCCTCTCATTGGGCATCTTTCTATCATCTCTCAAAGTTGCTAGGGAAATCCCACTCTTTAAATCTGGCGATAAAAGAAAATATCCAATTTTAGACCTATATCAATCCTTTCAGCGATTGATAAAATATTTGAGCGCATGATTCATAAAAGACGATAAATCTCAATTTGCATGCCATTTTAGATACAATCTAATATATTTTTGATAAACTAGTAAGTAAAGAGTTTATTAGTGCAACTTTTCTAGATCTAAAGAAGACTTTTGATTCCGTAAATCATAACATTCTGGTTTACAAGTTGAGACATTACGATATTAGGGGTATAGCAAATAAACTCGTTTCTAGCTATTTAAGCGGCAGACCACAGTATGTTCAAGTAGGAACATATTGTTCACTTCCCTTACCAGTGGCAGTGACACACGAAGTTCCTCAGGGCAGCTGTTTGGGCCCGTTACTATTTTTTTTTTCAGTTTTCATTGATGACATTACCTAATGTTCTTCGGTGTTTTCCAAATTGTTTGCCGATGACACTAATCTCCTTGACAGTGACAAATCTCATTCCAGTCTCCAATTATGGGCGAACACTGAAATTTCAAAAGTAGCAAATTGGATGAGGGCCAACAAAATAACAATAAACTTTTCTAGATCTAAAGGAGGCCTTCGATTCCGTAAATCATAACATTCTGGCTTACAAGTTGAGACATTACGATATTAGGGGTATAGCAAATAAACTCATTTCTAGCTATTTAGACGACAGACCACAGTATGTTCAAGTAGGAACATATTGTTCACTTCCCTTACCAGTGACACACGGAGTTCCTCAGGACAGCTGTTTGGGCCCGTTACTATTTTAAGTTTTCATTAATTACATAACCCAATGTTGCCCGCTAGTTTCCAAATTGTTTGCCGATGACACTAATCTCCTTGACAGTGACAAATCTCATTCCGGTATCCAATTATGGGTGAACACTGAAATTTCAAAAGTAGCAAATTGGATAAGGGCCAACAAATTAACAATAAACATTGAAAAATGTTAATACCGCCTTATAGAAGCAACTCTCAAAATGATCTGTCCATAAGAATTGATGGTACGATATTTGAAAATGTCAACTCCTATAAATATCTTGGTATATATAGATAACAAAATGAAATGCGATATTCAAATAGCCAATCTGGCTGTTAAATTATCTGAGTCAGTTGGAATATTTTATAAGCTTCGACATTTTACATTCCCAACCATTTTACGTATGATCTACTACTCTTTATTTCATTCCCATATTGAATATGGCACAGTGGCATGGGGTTCAGCGGATAAGAACTTATTGCGTCGCGTCGAAATTTTACAGAGCGGAGCAATCCGCACTATTTTTTAAATCTTTGGCTACCGCACTCATCTTAGTCCTATTTACCATAGCCTTCATATAATTAAAATTGTAGATGCATATAAAATCAAAGTGTTGAAATTAATGCACCAACACCAAAACAAAAAACTCCCTCCGGCATTCACAAACTATTTCTCGAAGCAGAGTGATATGCAATCATATGGTACACAGTCCTCTGCCAGATGCACTTATTACGTTACTCGATTTTCCAACAAACTTACCCAAAACTCAATCAAATTTGTTGGTGTCCAACTATGGAATTCGCTTCCTGAGATTACTCGAACGATTACTCTATAATTTGTACAAAAAATCCATTAAAACTGTATATCTTGATTCTTACCAGTAGTCTAAAGAGACATCCATGTGACGTGTCTGGAATTTCATTTTCCATACACTTTATCTGTTTATTTTATGAACTTCCATTATATGACTGCAGCCACATTCAGAAATGCCGTACATCATTTACTTTGCTGTTTCATGCTCACCATGTGACATTAGCTAAATGCATAAATGTTTTTTTATTCCAAGTAGGCCGCGAGCCGAGGCCATTTATCTTTCAGTTTCGTAGCGCACATCAGGTAACTACCTGAAAATGATTTTAAAATGTTCCTTAGAAATTTAGTAACAAATATTGCCTTGTTCCCACTTCCAAAAGTTGCACGTTTTACAGAAAAGACGCTTTTACTACAATAAATATGTGTTACCATCTGTCCTATTTTCTCTGCTTTTCCGGTATCATGGGCCAATGAACGCAGACTTCTGCAAGACGTAACAGTCATGTTAGTCAGCTGTAGGTGGATCCCCAGTGGTCGGATGAATATCAGATGTACTACAACTGCTCGCTTTTGCGTTGAGTAGCCTTTCCATAGTTTTTTTCAGTTACCGGTAATATTAGTTCAGTTATTCTAAGGAGGTGTTGAAAAGTATAGGTAAGATATCAAACACTTGCATATCCTTACCATAAATAGCAATTTTAGTTGAGCACTAGCTCATAAGACGTTGTTAAATAGGTACGGTGCGGTAACTCCAAGGAAGGCTAGACCTAGAATAATATGTCACAAACAACGATATTTTCTGGCTTGCATGAAATGTTTATGATTAATTTAATGACTCTTCTTGACTATTCAGCAGACTTATACTACTATATACAGATATAGGCCACAGCATATTTGGAAATAGAAATGAATGGCTGTTTCTGTAATGCACGGTTGTGTGAAAGAGAAGAAAATCAATTTTACTAATGTCGGTTGGTCTAAATCTAAATTCATAGAGTCGACAAGAACCTGGGAAGCAATGATAAGTTATGTCGGAGTGGAATGAAAGGTAGCATTGGAAACGATTGAGAGGTGAGAAATCAAGTTGTAGACAAACAGTTGATGTTTTAAAATATAGTCTATAGTCCATACTCATACTGTCATAGGACATTTCAGACTGTGATATATCAAAATTTAGTGTAGATATAGTCTAGTACTGGTAATGGTATGCAAACACTGCTGGACTGTAGTACATGCAATGAGCATATATACGCTCATTTAGTACATCAGATAAAATGCATTATGTATTCAAGGTATTAGTTAGTATTTAGGGGTATTTTTAAACTCATGCTGCTCCAAATATTATTTTCTTCCTCATTTTAGATACTGTACTACAAAAGAAAACGGCAATGTTCCACCAATCCGACCTAACGCAGGCTCTGATCCCTGCTGCTATCAGTGCTATAAAATGGATTAAACAAGAAGTCTTGAAGCTTAAAGGTATATGAGAATCATAATAGTTGCAAACAGCTTAGATGGGCTATTCATATTGAAATACTTTAGCACTTTTCTGCAATTGAAACTGCCCATCAAATTCATGTTGGAGACTTCATTGAGATTTTCAATTCATTTTTTTCTCTCGACTATGAAGATCTTTTGAAGTTAACGAGGCATTAATAAATAAAGCTGAGGAATTTGAAGAGGATATGAAGAATGTAAATGATACCAGGGCACGTCTATTTAACACTGTCAAACATAAGGATTATACTCTCCACCCAACAATGATTCACTGAAGAAGCATGTGGCCCTCAAATCAGTTCTTGAGTTGGCAAACTGCAAGTCTAAGAAAAATAGTCAAAATAATTTATGAAAGTGTGCCAAAATCAACTTAAATTGCACAGATTTTTGTTTTTGTATTGACTGCAAAAATCACAGTACACTTATAGAGGAAAAGTCGATTTTTGAGATAGTGGATTTCGAAAACAATTCAGAAGAAAGTGAATTAGATATTACTGTTGATTTAATAAGTATCATTTATTTGTTTTGTTTTTCGGACATTTGTTAGTGTCGTAGTCCTGTTTCTAGAAATATTATTGCCTTTGTTCAAATACATAACCACATAAACTAAAAAAAGATTAATTGTAAATTGTAATATTTCTGTTCACTATGTTATGTACATTATGTTAATTTTCTTGACTTTTGCGGTAAATTTCTAAGTGAGAAATAACTGATTTATTTGTGTTTTCGTGCTCACGATGTTAATTTGTGACTTCATTGCTTAAAAATAAACACGTTTGATAGCTTCTATAAAACGGATGTAGCTTTTTATGCTGTTCTTGTTGTAAACTGCTTGTGGTTATTACATAAAATTTATTTATGTGAATCAGCGTTGTTGGTGTCGCTGCTTTCGAGGTCACTCCCGATTCCTGACACACAATTAAAGTATTTTTTGTTGTTGGTTACATGTATGCCATATTTTTCGTAATCTACCTAATAAATTATGATTGACTGAGGAAGTCCGATTTTGGTCAGGCAAAACATTACAGGAATACATTTGTGTTAGTGTGCTGTAGGGCTCTCGAATTGCATAGTTCTTATGTATGTGTTGTAAACTTATGGTTATTGAATTTCCGGGAACCTCTTATATTCAATTTCGCACTAGAATTGTGGAACAAGCTGTAATGCGTTCATTATGTTCGTTTTCACACAAAACTGAAGAATTTATTTAGTTACCAGATGTGCGCTGCGAAACTCATTTTCTGGGCGTTTTCATGGCTTCGTCTCACGGCCCATATCCGTGGTAAGGATCTACAAGTGTTTACTAACTTACTTATGCTAAGACGTTGTTGAAAAATGTATAAGTAAGTTAGTAAACACTTGTAGATCCTTACCACGGATATGGGCCGTGAGACGAAGCCATGAAAACGCCCAGAAAATGAGTTTCGCAGCGCACATCTGGTAACTAAATAAATTCTTCAGTTTTGTGTGAAAACGAACATAATGAACGCATTACAGCTTGTTCCACAATTCTAGTGCGAAATTGAATATATTGTTGAAAAATGTATAACTTAACTAATAATAACTAAACAGGGCTATGGAAAGCCTGCCCAACTCAGCGCAAGGTCAAGCAGTAATAACTAATATTCATCCGCTCGCTAACAGCTGGTTTAATTCAATTGTTACGTCATGCTGAAGTCATTGTTCCTTGCCGAAAATGTAGAGAATATAGGACAGATCGTAGCACATATTTCTTGTAGTAAAAGCGTCTTTTCCGTAAAACGTGCAACTTTTGGAAGTGGGAACAAGGCAATATTTGTTACTAAATTTTTAAGAAACATTTTAAAATCATTTTCAGGTAGTTACCTGATGTGCGCTACGAAACTCACTTTCAAGGCGTTTTTCAGGGCCTCGGCTCGCGGCCTAAAGTATTTTATTGAGCCAATAGTTTAATTGTCTGTCGACGCTTTCATAACATGTAACGACCCTCGTTGCTAGCTGCAGCGTTACTTCTTATGGTTAGTCACATCAGTCAGCAAAAATTTTGCTGTGCTTGCACTCATCGAGGTATATACTGTTCACTAGACCGCTTCATTCGTGCTGTTGTCGTCGGCTTCGTTGTTTGGAAGAGCGCAATGGAAGGTAGCCTATGCTATTGTTGAAAAAATCGGAGTAAAGTCTTCGGTGTGGAAGTATTTCAGTGTACAAACACCTTTAGAAAAGGATTTCTCCACCTGTAAATTGTGCAGCAGAAAGCTTCCAACTAAAGGGGGTACGACATCATCTCTGCTCAGTCACCACCTTCGGGAAATTGAATGCTTGAAAGGAAATACTAAACCAAAAACGCATCTTAACGTACGAAGCTGCTTTGAAAAAATGTGCCGAATAATCAAAATCAAGCGACCTCTGTAGCATAACAGAAGCAATAACGCTTTGTCTTACATATATTTACGGTCTAACTAAAGACGTTATGCCAAGCTACAGTGTTTAGAAAGAGGGATTTCGCGAGCTGTTGGAAATATCAGACAAACGGTACCGTTTACCAAGCTGGAACTATTTTATAGGAACAGCCATACCAGCTTTGTATGAGAAGGCCAGAATAAATGTAGAACGTTAAGTCACGGAAGCTGCTCACGTTTGTCCAATTAGCCTGTCAGTGCATTACATTAACGAAAATTAGGAGATAGATTCATACCGTTTAGAAACGCACTTCATACCGGACCACACTGGATCAAATATTGCAGACACGCTGGAGTGTATGCTTCAATCTTAGGAGTTACAGACAGTAAAATAACATCATCGCGGTAACAATAGACAACGGGACGAATGTGAAATCGACATGCAGCCTTATTGGATTGACCCGCATTTCTTGCTTTGGCAACAATTCAAACCTCGCAATGACAAACTCGCTGAAAGATTTTCACGTCACTCGAACAATTTCTGTATCGAAAGGACTGGTGGGTGGTGGCATGGTTTTCTCACAGTTTCAAAAAAGCGGGATCTTGAAATTGCCAAGAAGCGGTTCAATCTTCCGAGCCGCATGGTCGTAGTAAACTGTCGGACCAGGTGGAGGTTGCTATTTGACAAGATCGAAAGAATTTTGAAACAACTGGAAGCGATCTATTTGAAGAATGTAAAAATCTAAACGATGACTCATTGAATGGCGTTAGCTTGAAAACGACAGGTGTATGGGAAACAGGAGTATTCGAAATTCAATGCATTTACTTAAAGTCTTAAAAATAGATATTTTAGATAAATTATATGCCTTTCTGACAAACAGACACAAATTGCTCGTACAATGTAGAACCAAACTTCTATGGGGGGTGCGTTAGAACGGGTCAACTATACATACATAATCAAAATAAATCAACTCTGTTCTGCACTGTTTTCCATGGAATGATCACGAGTTTATATCAGTAATCTTCATTAAATAACCCAACATGACGCACCCTAACCTGGTGCACATACTGTGTTCAGGTTGTGCGCCATCTTGGTGCATATATTTCTGGAGCTCCAAAATTTCTTTGATTTTGCTTATGGGTGTGCTCATATTGCGTCTGTTAGGTTATTCAAAGATGTTGAAGATTACTGATATAAACTCATGATCATTCCCTACTACTGTATACTGTTTCCCATCAAATTGTTCAAAATTTCACGAACGCTAATAAATAATGAAAGAAAAATGTTTCCCTCTCCTCTGCGCTGTTTCCGTCTCTTCTGCGCTCTATTTAGTAAGTAGTAAGACCGCTTAATTTGAGGAAGTTTTGGAGAGTTGGCGCTTACAAACTGGTTTATATGTTCAAATCCATCATTTTTATTAAAAATTATCAACTACGTTCCGATTTCAGATACTCATAGCTAATTTTAGACTAGTCTATCGCAGCGACTGCAGGGCTAATTTTTGACTTTTGTAACTAAACTGAAGATTCTCAAAAGTCATAATGACAATTAAAATTATTTGATTTACAACTATTTTTGGGAAACACAACTGAAAATTGACAAATAACACATAGAGCCATGAAAACGAGGCAATGTTTACAACCATGCTTGGATATCTAACTGCCCGAGCGAAACAAGTGCTGGGCGTCGATACTAATTGTTACGTAATTGTTTACTTATTGATCATTGTTACGGAAATAAACAAGGAATCCGTAATTTGGCGAAACACCCATTGCTAACAAAGGGCCCATGTGGAAAGGTTCAATTTTATGCCAGCTGTAGTATCTCATACCGGTTTCTTCAATTCGGAGCATACATCTTTCGCGCAATCTTGGATTGCACCATTTCCTGAATCTTTGTCGTGTGTTTTTATGTGGATTACCGTGTATGTTTGATTTTTACTTTCCGATAATCTAAATAACATCTATTCATCTTCTTTAAAAATTATTTCTCACGCCAATGACGTGGTTTAATCTCATTGCTCACACCGCTCAATATAAAAGATAATATATACGACATGGTGTGGAGAGAGGGTCTGTTATATAAACTATTCAAAATTGAAGTGCGTGGCAGTATTCATCAATGGATTAGATTATTTCTCACAACACGCTCATTTCATGTCCGAGTATATTCGTCGATGTCGGCTACAAAACGATATTCCCTAAGACAGTGTTCTCAGCCCAATTCTGTTTTCCGTTATGATCAATGACTTGCCACAAAATGTCCCTTCATTGGTGAAACTTTTTGCTGATGATGAAGCTTTCTGGGAGACCGGATTGCATATCCCGGAAATAGTACCAAAAGTTCGATCTCACTTAAATGCCATAATAACTTGGTGTGATAGGGGGGGGGGGTTGAACTTTCCACCACAAAACCCTGTATCGTGCTTTTCACCAAGCGCAAGGAAATCCCTACAATCCATCTTAGAATCAAGGACTCAGTAATACCTGTCACATTCGATTTTAAATATTTGGGCGTTGTGTTTGACTCAAATGGACGTTTTTGTTTTTTTTGCCGTCCAGTAAACAAAGTCACGTGACCCGTGCAAGTCCTCTATATTCAGATTATCTGGAGAAATATACTGATGGATATCGCAAAATAGGCCTTAAAAAGTATTAATATTCTGATTGGTCTTTCTGCATTGGAAAGCATACAGAATATTTGGAATGTTAAGCATTTTTTATCGACAAAAATACAACTACTTCATGCTATTATTTGTCACACGACGGATATCAAGTTTCTGTGGATACCAGCACATATTGGTATTAGCGGTAATGAGGCAGGGGATCGGCTGGCGAAAGACGGAGCAAATGGAATTGTCATCAATGCAGTTCTCCACCTGTCATTGGAAGAAGCTAAGACATTATGCAAGCAAGCATGTCTAGCAAAATAGTATTTAACATATCAAGCTAACGATACTACAAGCCATTATAAGAACTTTCGAACTCATATAGCCCAAAAGACTGTCTATTTCAATTTTTCCCGCCAAAAAGAAATAGTATTTTTTCGTCTTCAAACTGGACATCTCAGACTCAACTATCATTTATTTAAAATAGGGCTACATTCCACAGGGCACTGTAGTTAATGTGACACAAATGAAACTGTTTCCCATTTTATTTTATATTGTCCCAAGTGTAGTAACCTACGATTGCGAATTAAGACATGAAGCAGCAAAAATGAATGTGCCCCGGAAAATTATTTGTATTTTCAATGTTCCTGATTTGGTTCCATTTATCATTAGTTTTGCAATATCCACCAAACGAGAGTTGTGAACCTATTTTATTGTATCATACTGACTACTCTTTTTGATATTTGGCGCAAAAGACCCAGTTGTCAAAGACGCCAAAAAACCTTTTACCCTTACTACCCTAATATATTCCCATTGCGCCACTGCACTGACGACCGAAAGTGAAGTCACGTGCAGAGGTCGTATGACACAAAGTGACTATGTGACTTGGTATGACAAAGAAAATGTTTTCATAGTGGCAGATACTGTCTAGCACTAGCAGCCCATTGCTGTTGTGTGTAAAGATCGACAGCAGGGATCGGTGTATATCACAAGTGATAAATGAAAATATTATTATCACGACCCCGAGATGGTTGTAGAAATTTCACCTGATTGCAGGTATTGATTACCGCACAGCTAGGTATATCTCTGTTGGTGCTGTGGTAGAAAGCCTCGGCGCAGTCGGCGTTACCTCATATACCTGTATACAGGTAACGTTATATCTCAAGCCATGACTGCATGAATTCAGGGTTGCTATGTGGCTTTTTAACACCAAATTCGCCATTTTTGGCTTTTTTCAAACACGATTGGCGTCAGAATTTACGTTTGGCTTTTTTCTTGACTTTTTTCAGTCTCCTTCAATGTGTATTATTAAAAATCATATGAAATACATTATACAATATTTAGTGTGTAACAATAGCCTATTGCTTAGCTATTTAACATTTGGAAGAGCATCGATTTTCTTGTTTATGACCATAACCAACAAAAAATAGTTGCAGTTTCTGCAGCCGCTCAAACAGATGTTCAAGCGGGGTTGTAAACATTGCCATGCTTTTAGTTATTTGTCAGTGTTCAGTTCTGTTCCCAAATATAGTTGTATGACTTAATTGTCATTCCTGCATTATGCCTTCCCAGGAGTTTTAGTTTAGTTGCAGTAATCAGAATTTATACGCTAAAATTAGCCATCAGTAGTCCGCCTGCAGACCTGTAAGCGGGCACATGGTTAGATAATTTTTTAAATAAAAATGATGGTTTCAAAATGTTCAGTGAGAATGTTTTAAGGTATATCACAAACTGAAGCGTCACCCTGTGTATATATATTGAATTGTTGAGTGATGCTGTCCGCTTGATATTTCCTTCTATTTTTTTTATTTTCCCAACTCTTTCATATAGATGTCAGTTTAACTGTATAATGTCAAATGTAGGTTCTGGTGCTGCCATTCAATTAACCCCTTTTCAACCCTCCATCTCGCTGAAGCGGAAATCGCCATGATAGCTAGCAACTGAAAATACAACTTTCAATGACTGAATGAGAAAAGACATTTGTGTGGCTCACTAAATGCTCTACATCAGGTGCTTTTGTAATTAGTAAAATTGTTGGCTTTTGCTGGCTTTTTTTTCGTCTCAATTTGGCCCTTTTTGATCACTAGGACAGTAGGATCTGGCAACCCTTTGCATGATGCTGTAATAGGATGGTTATGTACGGTACCTACTGACCTACAGCGAAAACTATACAATGTTGGGCGTTATTTAAGAAGTTCCCGGAACAAACACACCAACCTCGAACAGTGTCAGACATCGAAACAGTGCAATTCGAAAGGCAGTTAAATGAGCATTTATAATTGAAGCCGCATGAGAATTTTTTTTACAATTTTATGCACATGATACTACTCTACTGTGTTAATGCAAATAACAAAAACTAAAAGGATTTTACCTCTCTAGATTTACTCTAAACCCTGAAACTAAAAGTTGGTAATATTTCATCACCTGGACCTTGCAAAACTTGTGCAGTCATGTCTATCAATAGATCGGCAGGACTCCAATTATTTCAAGGCGAGCTGACTGTGCAACAACACAAAGATGTTGAACTAAAATTCAAGAAGGTCAAATATTCATCTGAGCACTTGAAGGGATCGAAAGTCGGCCAGCTTTATCTTACGAATTTCAGAGCATTTTTTGTGAACAGCAAAACAAATGACATGCTACAAAATTTTAGCATGCCATTCAAACTCATAAAGGATTTTGAGATCAAGCAACCTGTGTTTGGCGCGAACCACTTAGAAGGAAAAATAATGGCTGAAGAAGGAGGTGGATGGCAAGGTTCCGCAGAATTTGAAATGACATTCAAGGTAATATTGATTTATTTTATTCAAGTACAAATAATGAAATTAAAAGTTAGCTGATTTTACCTTGAATTTTTAAACTCATTTCCTGGTTGATGCCATCACATAATATTTGGGCTCCCTAATTGAGCCTTGGAGTGTATATTACTGTATTAGATGCATTGAAACATAACTATAATCTATAATATACATATCCTGTATAATGACCAAAAACACATTTTTTTTCCTTCTATCGTATCTCACCAACTAACATTGTATTTGTAACATGTATTCCTTTCCGGAAAAGTAAGTGTTAGTGATCAAATGAAATAAGCAGAACCTTATGATGGTTAAAAAATGAACCTGACTTGAAGGAAAAGAATACTGACTCTTAAATTTGAGAATGGTCAATCAAGTGAACCTCGAAGAGAGAAATCAGCTGTGTGTGTCATGTGTAACAGCCATGCAATACATATAAGGTTATCATACAGCCCCAATTTGAAGTCCCAATGCTGTATATTGGAGCTCCGCTCTATAGGAGACCCTTATTCTCAATCGTTCTGTCTGTCTGTTTAGATGTAGCCTCTAAACGACTAGATCAATTTGGGTGAAATTTCTTATGTGAGTTAACCTGTCGAGTGTCATCCTAGTATTATGCGTATGAAATAAGCAGAACCTTATGATGGTTAAAAAAATGAACCTGACTTGAAGGAAAAAAATACTGACTCTTAAATTTGAGAATGGTCAATCAAGTGGACCTCGAAGAGAGAAATCAGCTGTGCGTGTCATGTGTAACAGCCATGCAATACATATAAGGTTATCATACAGCCCCAAGTTGAAGTCCCAATGCTGTATATTGGAGCTCCGCTCTATAGGAGACCCTTATTCTCGATCGTTCTGTCTGTCTGTTTAGATGTAGCCTCTAAACGGCTAGATCAATTTGGGTGAAATTTCTTATGTGAGTTAACCTGTCGAGTGTCATCCTAGTATTATGCGTTTCCTCGAAAGACTGGATTGTTGTTTCGCTTCCACGGCAGCAACCACAAAACATCCGATTGTGAAAAAATTTCTAATTTTTTGACATTCTGTTGCAATTTTCTTGTAAATTAAGTCGAAAATTAGAATTCTGAGATTGCTACCCCTCGCGAGAGAAAATGCTTTCTCTAACAAGCCGCCATTCATCTCGATACTCTATAAACTGGTGAAGCCTTTGGAATTAAATTGATTGATTGATGGAATTTTAGTGAACATGTTTCAATAATTAGCAACATTTTATTCCTCATGCAACGCTAAAAAGCAGACGCACAGCGTTCAAAATGAACAGGAAATATCGCCATCGGTAACAGGCAATATCGGTGATTGTTATTGCATGCGTAAATGGTCTCGGAAATAAAAGAGATTTGTATTCGAACGAAGTTACTGGTGACCACTAGAGTGCTACAGGGACTAAAACGAATTGGATCATCGCGATAGCATAATACAGACGCGGGGCTGAGTATCAGCGGAGATCCCGGGCGCCTACCGACTTGTTTTTTCATGTGACTCGTTCACGAAACCTTAGAGAAATACTCAAGTACATAAATGTACTAGGGGAACTTGAATATTGTGTATTGAACTGCAGGTCCTTTCTCCTTGATTACTTTCTACTTCGGATCCGTATGTGGCACAGTAAAAATAACATGATCTCTTTCAACGAAATAGTAAGTATATTTGTGAGCTTTCGTTAGATCATGGTCTAACTTCTTCAAACAATACAAGATATAACTGTAAATATAAAAGATCATATAAATTTAGCCTATTATTGAGTTTCCTATAACTGGATATGGATGCTATCGTATCATCTTAGAATAGCCGGTCTAACTGATGTGGTTGGGTTGGGGTTCATCTATTTGGGTAGTTTCCTTTGTTTGTTTTTCATCGTTATTTGTTTGTATTGTTGTTGTTGTTTTGATGGTACTGTTTGTTTTTTGGTTTTATATTTGCGTTAAGGCCACTTCTTCGTTTGAGTTTTAATCTTTTCTATTGATTCCTTGTGGTTGCCGAGTCTTCATTTTGTCAATCCAAAAATGCTCGTTGTTTTTCCTGTAAAGTTTGTCGTGGGTTAGTGAGTCAATTCCTAGAATACTGAAATCGTCTATATTGTGCCCTTGCCTGTTAAAATGGTTGGCAACTGGTGTTGGGGTCTTTTTCCGAATGTCCCTAAGGTGGTCTGCCGTACGAGACTTTAATTTTCTTCCCGTTTCTCCAATGTACTGTGCCTGGCATTTTTTACAGGTGATTAGATATATTACATTTCTCGTGTTGCAGCTGATTTATTTAAAGATTTGGAACTGTTTGCCGGTCGATGTGCTTCTGAATATTGAGATTTCAAATGAATGTTGGCAGGTCGTGCACCCTTTTCTGTTGCATTTTTCAAATCCTTTTTGGTCGGCTTTTTTGTGTTCCACTTTTAATTTTGCTCGCCCAAAATAAATCCCTTAGTGTTGGACATTTTCGGTAGCCTATAATGGGGGGGTTTGGGAATATTTTCTGCAGTCGGGCGTCGCGGTGTAGGATGTATGGGTACTTTTGAAATATTATTCTGATTGCTTGGAGGAGTGGGTGGTACGCTGTGCCAAGAGGTGTGTCGGCTTTTTTGGTGTCAGTATCGTGGTTCTATCTGTATTTCTTGCTCGCTCTATGGCTTTGTTTAATGATAATTCGACAAAAGGCCTTCCGGAAGGTCTTTTGGCCTTCCGGAAGGCCCTTTTTAATCAAATAGTTTTGAAACCTGATTTCGTGTAGTTTGATTTTGAATTTTCTTCAGCTTATGGTATTAATTGATTGCCAGTTACTCATGAACACAATCATGGGTTACAATTTCTATAAAACATTTTAGTTTTTTATCACTGACCTATTTACTTTAAATAAAAATTTCAATTTTTTGAAAAATTTGAAAAAAATCAAATTTTTAAAATCCTCATTTCTCAGATAAAAAAAACTTTGTGATCTAATTTTTTCATGTTTATGAATTTCTTGTATCATGTTGTTGCACTGAAAAACTAAATTTGCTAACAGAAAAAAGCGCAAATACAATTTTTTTTGTAAATTAAAAATTTTTCATCAAAAATTTAAAACGATCAGTTTTATAAGAGGGATTATTGTTTAACTATATTCAGTTAGGTACATTTTTTTCTCTAAAAACCCAGAACACAAATACCTAATACCAAAAAAAAATTCGAAAATTAATACTAACACAAACAACATGATGGATGGAAGACCCTTTCAAAATTTTTCTTGAAAAGGGCCTTCCGGAAGGCCCCAAGACCCGGTATCTGGAAACCTAAAAACCTTCTATTTTCAGTAATTAGAGAATGTACCACTATCAAATAAATAAGTAATGTTATTTTAAGCCATGTTATCTGAAAAGAAAGTTACATTTTTCGTTTTTGATGGGAGGGAAGGTGTTCGCCAAATGACAGCTGGGCATTGATTTTCAGTAAATGAAAGACGATCACTCATTGAAAGTCGGCGCCTACTTGGACAATACAACTTTTGAATTTGAAATGTTTGCTCGTCATGTAAAGAATATCATGCAAGATTTGGTTGATATGTTGTCTTTATTAATGAAATATACCATCCAAAGATGAGCATTTATTAGTAGAAATCCATGTTGCGCTAAATTGACAGTGGTCACAAGAGCGCATTAGTTACACATCTTAGAAACCAAAGGATCCAGTACCCACATCATAATGATGACAGTGACAAATTTCAAATAAGTTTCTGCTACTTGCAGTCTAGGGATATTTCCAGAGTGCCATTCTCATTTTGTTTCTAGCTAGTTAAAATTATCCTTTTATCAAATCTATCTGCAAAAAAATTTGGAAGTTTGGATGGGCAACTAACTATACCATTAATAATTCAACCTAAGGCTCTGTCTCCACATTGCCTATCATTCTCCGCTGTAAGGGGATTGTATCCATGTCTTAATCAGACTCTATGTCTTATTAATCAGACTCTGTCACTTTCTTCGTCTGAGAATGAAAATACATTCATCTCTGTTAGTTCACTGTCTATGCTGCATGCTAAGAAAGCACTCAGCACATTCACTAACTTCCTTTTCTTTCTCAACTTCAGAATCCTAACTCTCAGTCTTTTTGGTTGCTACCTAAACTGCTGTTTGGTTGTTCTTCATTCATTCAAACCAAAGCTACTCTCTGCATTGTGCTCAAAGTAATTTCCTAATTCGAATCTTTCTTAAGTTCTTTCTATGTTCTCTTCATCTGAAACTCCAGGTCTTGAATCTTTATAGTCTATTTCACTCACTGTAATATTATATCACAATTCACAATGTAATATCATAAAATTTCACTCTAGCTTTCTCTAAAAACTTGAAAAGTATCAACCCAGAAACTACATCCAAGCACAAATTATAATGATACTGTATATAGCAGCAATCAATTTTTAAATTTGAAATATTCTTCTGTATAGCTTAAACTTAACCTAAATATATTTATTATGTTAATCAATAACATAAAATGATAATGTGTGTTTAATTTTGGCTTCCCTTCGAAAAAACAGGCTTTCCTCTCAATATTAAGGGTCCACATCGACATATATAACTGATTATTTTTGTAGGGCCTTCCGGAAGGCCCTAACATTTTCTATAGTAATGTCCAACTTTTATATATCATTAAACATTCTGTATTGCATTTTGTTTCTCAATAAATCAAGTAACCAACGTGAAATCATGCCTCGTGCAAAAAAAAGTACCTGCAATTACGAAGAAAATATTTTTTGACACCGGAACAACAAAAATTAATCTAATATTCTGATCAATAAACTAGGTAACTTGCTTATAATTGGAGATATAAAGACAAAATAATGACTATGTCATCTGGTAATCGCCAGGCTTGCAACTACAACTTTTATTGCTTTCATTTAAAGCTCTGTACTCTTCAATTTGGTCAAAATAGTTGAATAGTGTAAAAAAAACATAGGGCCTTCCGGAAGGCCCTTTTGTCCACATGTTTATACAAAATTCACGACATAATCGAGTGGTAGCAGTTCATTCCAATCACACTGCAATTGTTGTAAATTTATAGAAACGTGCAAAACAGTAAAAAAAAGTGCCTCGATTAATACCTGGGTTGCCCATAATTGCGATTTTTGAAAAATATATAAAAATTTTCATAGGTGACAAAAAGTTCTTATTTTCAATAGTCGAGCAGACTAATAAAAACTATATATGTGCAGTAGCTGTTAAGTGTCTGTAAATAACCTTTAATGAACTATTCGAAGCTGAAAAACTAAGAAGTTTTTCTGCTATATAGTACTGTGAAAATTTATTGTAAAAATGACCTAAAATAGGGCCTTCCGGAAGGCCCTTTTTCAGTCGAATTATCATTAACAGGTGCTCGGGTTAATTCCACTTTTTTAGATGCTGCTTGAGGATGTCACTGTGTCTGTTGAAAAATTCCGTAATTGAGCATATTCTTCTAATTCTTATTGCGAGTCCATGGGGTATGTTCCGGTGTACATGTCTTGGGTGGCAGGATGACTGTAAAAGATATTGGTGGGTGTCCGTTGGTTTGGAGTAGAGTTCCGTTTCTAGTCTATTATCAATTAAGTGGACCATTGTGTCTAAGAACGGTAATTTGGTTTGGGAATGTTCAAATGTGAACTTGAATGATGGGTGGTATGAGTTCGCGAATTTGACGAATTTTTCTAGGTTTTCTAATCCTGAAGTCCAAATTAATTTACAATCGTCTATAAATCTCAAATAAGTTAAGGGTTTGAATGGTGATTTTTCGATTATTTCCTTTTCTAGTATTGCCATAAAACAGCAAGCGTATTTGGGTGCCATCTTCGTTCCCATACCCGTTCCTTGGATCTGTATGTAGTTACGGCCATTGAATTCGAAGTTATTATTGGTTAGCACGCACTCAGCTGCCTTAATAGTCCAGTGGATCACATCCGGGTCTGTTTCATTCATTTGTAACATCTTTTGCAGGGTCGAAATTCCTTCTGCGTGGGGTATGTTAGTCCATTGTCACTAGGAGGGAGCCTGTTGGGATATGTCCCATATTTGAATTTTGTTTAAGAAGTCCGTGGTATCTTTCATATAGGACGGTATAAATTTGGTAGTCATGAGGGGAGTTAGTTTGTAGTCCACAAATGCGGAGAGCTTTTCTGTGGCGGAGCCATCACCGGATATTATCGGCCTTGATGGATGGTTTTGTTTGTGGACTTTGGGTTATAGTCTTAATCTTCCTGGTTTCGGGTCTTTTGGGAGTATTGCTCGGTATAGTTTTTCATCTATAATTTTGGCATCCCACATGTCCTTGCATATTTTAGTAACTTATGTAGTAACTCATAAATGTATATCATCAAACTTGATCGAAAGTTGTACAATTTCTTTGCCTGAATATTTTTTTTTTTTTTTGAAAATTCCTGAATGTAATTTTATGGGCATCGTTATTCGTTAGTCAATATACAGATTTTAAATTTTCATTTAAATTTTGGAAAAGATGCAACACAAAATTCCACACAAAATCAACACTCTTTGATCTTAGACTTATCTAACAGTTTTTTTAATAGTGATTTGAATTCGTATCAGAAGTCAGAACCATTATACAAAAGCTTGAAATAATTTTTTTTAGAATTTGAGAAAATATTTCTCAATATTCTTCCACAGAAAGTCTTTTGTCTTCCTTCTGTGCTGTATTGCAGTGTGAGCCCTTTTCAGCATAAATTTTAATTGATGTTATCAATGCTTTCCAAATCTGGCTTTTGTTAGATTTTTGCCATATAAAGTAATTCTTTCAGATTGAGGTTTTAATTTCTTTAGCTTAATCTAAAGTGTACATTGTATCACCTTAAGTTAACACTCCCCAATTTCACAATGCATTCAAATCTTTTCATAACTTGAAGTATCCTTCCGTTTAGTTGGTTTTGGATTTAACTTAGCTTATCCTGCTGAAAAGTCTGACAGAATTTTACAAAAAATTGTACAGGACTTTAAATTAAACAAAATATGATATCGCCCATCTGTGTTGGCATCATAAGCTGAGGACCTTCTATTTTACCATATTGCCACTATTTCACTTCTACTTTGTGAGAATCTATAAACATTCATTGTTTTTTTATGTTAACAGGCTGGAGGTGCAATCGAAGTTGGTGAAAGTCTTATAAAAATGGCTAAGAATCCTCGGATGATGTATATTGCCCAACCAGCCCCAATCATTGTCACCGGGGTTCCACAGGGCATGCCAATTCAGCCAGGTTATGCTCCACCACCCATGGGGTATCAACCAACAGCTCCTCCATTGTACTCACAGTATCCAACCCAACCTCCATACAATCAAGGTCCTCCCATTCCTCCTTATCCGGCTGAACCGTCATACCAACCCACAGATCCAAAGTCACAGGAAGCTATGGCTTCTGGATCATCTTATCTTCCTCCTGGTTATTCTGCTCCTGCCCAGAATCCTCCTTCATATTATGATACGACAAAGAAAGATCAATAAACGTAAAGATGTGTATTGTGTGTTTGCTGTGCAATAATTTTTATTCTTGTTAAAATGTATATTTCACAATATATTTGTTTGTAATTGGATGTGACACCAGATAGTCATAATTGTTCAGGAAAGATTTCGCCATTTATGTGATGAAATTCTTATTGGTTATGTAATTATAGATATCAATTTTTTTCGTTTGAACATGCTTGCTATACCTTTATTTTTAGTTACCGGTATATGTTTTTCGAGTCTTTCTAACTGTGTCAGATTTTCTGGGCCTGGAATTCAATACTAATATTAATTATGTAGATAGTCAATGATTCAATATTTCTAATATTTATCTTTCATGTCGTGTTCGTAATTAACCCTAGTTCACATTCTCTTTTGTTAATAGATTGTATTTTTGTGTGCACCAATAATTGTGGAAACTCTTTCTATTGTGTTACTTGGCATCCTTGTTCATGTCAGATGATATTTTGATTAGGTGTTGTGTTAAGAGTCTACAGTTCAAATACGAGCGCTTTATATTTTGTATAGGGATAGCTATATATATCAGCTTTATTGTTCAGACTGTTTGGCGAAGAACTAGGTCACCGGCGGGCAAACTCTAAGGGCCATTTCCTCCAAACACAAACTTACTTGGAGCCGCAACATCTACTCTTAATGTCTATCAAAAGTTTACCGTTACACGTAAAAAACTCTGTGGATTTATTTTAATTTAATGGCTTTGGTAACAAATAGCGACTGTCATAATGGCGACTTCATAATAGGATAGGATAGGATTTACATATTTATCCCGGGGGAGAGGAAAGCCGATAAGACGGCTTATCCATATGGCGAACCACGGCCTCTCGTCCGGGGTTACCATTCCTAGTCGGGTATGGGATTAGTTTTACTGTATTGTTTGTTTTCGGAAGCATGGACTTGGTGACGTAATCAGGTGAGCGACTGTCAAAATAGCGACTGCGACATCAGTTTTTTTATTAAATCCAAAGCTTACGGGCACACGCACTTTTTACGCCAAACCCCCCGCCCCATACACCCTAACTTTGTTTTGTCATTCCTGTACAAAAAGATAAGTCGCTGTTTAAATGCAGTCGCCATTATCACAGTCGCTCACTTGATTACGTCGCCATTATGACAGTCGCTGTGTCCGGCCTGGATACATTTTTGATGTGTCAATAGAAAAAGTGAACTGATCTGGCTGGGAAACGAAACTTGTCGGTTCATGATACACAAAGTCTTTAGAAGATTTATCAGTAAATGTGATATGTCCCTTAACTTCTCTGCCTAGGTTGAAGATTTGACAAAGACAGTACCTCCGCGTTTTATAATAACAAACCAGTAAACATCCAGTTAGGGGTGGAAATGATTTGAATGTTCAGCGCAATCTGCATTTCAAACCCCGACTGGATAATTACTTATTTTGGGCGTTGGTGGGGATTTTCTACTGAAGATCTAACAAATAATCTCAACTTCCGGCTGGTAACAGCAGTGCTAGTTATTAAAACTTAGGAAAAACCACTTATGATCAAATAATCTAGTTCTTGCTAAAAAGAAGCCAAATGAAATACGAGGGATTTGGTTTTGAGGTACTTTTATATGAAATATCAACGGTGCATTCGCCAGTAACCCTGGTCTCCCCGAGGCAAAAACACAGTCTATGAGAAGAACTTAAAAAAAGTTTGTTTTGGCAGTTCCTCAATGCTAACGAAAAACTGCTGTAACTATTTTGATCCACGGGAGCCAGAGCTTCGAAAACAAAGAGCCACATGCGACACGCAGGTTGCTGATCTCTGCACAAGGTGGTCTACCCACTCACGGTATCAAGTTCTAATAAAGAACCATCAATGTCGCAAGCATCAAATACTCCCATATATATGATAACATTATCTTGCATTAGCTCTACTAGGTGAAAAGAGGTAAAAACACTGCCTTTGAAGCAAAATCTGTCAATAGTTTAAGAAAGAAGACCAGTTAGGAACCCATAGCCTAAGTTTACTCTGAAGAAACAGGTCTCATTGCCACTTAAAAAGTTGCTTACGATAATCGGCAAACTGAATCTTTAAAATGATTTCCTTAAAGTGCATATATATATGCTCTCGTTGCGTAATGTCTCGGATGAGACCGAATTCAAAAACATGAATATATGGGAGTGCGTGATGTTAAGATGAATTGCATTTGGTTTACTTTAAGTTATTCACATTGACAGGAAACCTCATACAATCAATTCAATAATTATTACCTGTCATGTAAAGTTTAACAATTGTCTTCGTTGAAATGACCGTGACTCTTGTCCCCCAAACAAAACGTAATAGTAATTATACCATAGTTAATTAAAGTAATCGCAATAAATAGTCCGTAAGAAATTACACAACAAATTCAGTTAGTAATATGCGAATGTTGAATACTCGCTATTCAGTCAGTTATCATGGTAATATCGACCGAAATTGATATTTGCCGTATTTCGAACAGATCCATTTGTCATATTTGCACTCCGTATTCCATTCATTGGATGTTGTCGTACATCTTCGTGACCTTTGCTGATTTTTGGTACCTCGTCAATAAACGGCCCACTTCCAATCGGCGGTAACTTTATGTACGGTTCGAACTTCACAGTATTGCCAGAGACAGGGTTTCCTTTTACCCTCAGGGTTTGTAGCTTTGATCTCTCTTTATCGGTCCATGAGTATGAATCTCGCTGTAACTTCGTACGCGGTCCCCAGGTATGTAGGTCGTGCGTAGAATAATTCTAAGAATCATTGATATTTATTGAGCTTCATTCATATGAACATTACAACTAAAAAACGTTCATGTTTTAGATAGCGTTTCTTGTTTAGAGTTTGATTTTGACCCTGTCTGGCTTTAGGACTAGAAAATTATCGAATGTCGTATACATCGACAATATATATATATATATATATATATATAATGAAATATTTCTGGCGTATAACTTACAGTAGACTCCGTTCGATAATCCGTCTTTTCGTTGCCAAATGATAACGAAGATGACAGCATCCCTCTTTTGCGTGCTGTCGTCATGCTTCGATCTTTAGTTACTGCTGTTCCCAATTTATTTGTTCCTTCGCTAACGCTCCTTTGTGTTTTCTAAATGTAAAATTAATCAATTAAAAACCTCTTAGGACAACCTTGTGAATATTTTGTTCAATTTCAAATTAGCACACAACTGAACTACGTGTTAAGCTTCGAAATGAGCAGTTTATCATAAAGAGCCTAACAATAAGTGGCGCTTCTCACGAGGTTCGACGTATGGGTATTTAAATCATTTTACTGCACGTGAAATGCTTTGATAAAAACTTTACCGGTCTATTCACCATTAATTTCGCTTTATCTGGTACATCTTAAAATATTTATGGCTCGTGGATTGTCATTTGTATTAATACATAAACTGACAAGCGCCATCTAAATATTATTATTTGCATGCATGAAGGTATACATCTCCATAGCAGGTTTGACAAGCATTCACTTGTTTCAAACAGGATTTTGTTTGTTTATTTAACCTAAGGCAGCCTGTTTTGAACAAAGAGTCCGTTTTAAAACAAGTTTTTCAGTTTTCTTTTCATTTATTATTGAAATATTAATATTACATTTGAAACAAATATTTCTGAACAAATCTCCAGATTCAGACGGTTCGAAAAGTAATGTATTGACTCCTAAATTCTGGAATTCTTCTTAAGTAAATGAAATAAAAACTTTCACGGTCAACTTTTTTCTATCATCATTTCTCTAATAATTGAAACCTAAACTCAAGGAACTTACTTTGGTAATCGATTCCCAATTGTTATTGTTATCGTACCCAAGAACCACGTTTGTAGCACGAGGATCAGCTCGTTTGTACCTTGCTGTTCGTTGTGGATCATACTTTTTGGCAGATCTGCTGGTGTCCTGATTGAAATGTCAAAGTTATGTCAACAGAACTAAGTATTATCGTATCTGATGATTATTACAATTGAAAATTACTTATTTACAATGATCGTACATCATTTGTTGGAAATTTTCTACATATCTGGTTCTACTATAATGTATCATCAGAAAAAAAGATATGTATATATTAAATATCTTATACAAGGTACAGTGACGGACAAAGTAAAACAAATGTGATAAAGGCGTGACAAAGTGAAATAAGGAGTAAAAACTTTCTCTTTTACAAGAAAATTGTGTAAAACTAGAATCCTTTCTGTAGTAATATTTGGTAAGGTTTTATGAATATATATGATATGCTTTTAGTGAATCAGTGATATCGCCGACCTAGAAATATTTTAATCATAAAACAAAAAATCCTGCGACTTCCACATGATAATTATATAGGCTATATATATTGAGTGTATAATAATACTCACCAGAAACTCCATGCCTCTTTATATTAACTATATTCTAACTGGTACGTGCAAAAAAGTCGCTCATTTATGACGACACGATGTTCATAAAACTTTCAGACCAAGCTGATTTCAATAAGACACGAAAAGATCTTAAGTTACTGGTTCTTCGACAATATGCGCAACGTTGTGGGAAGTAAATATATATTGAACACTCGACAGAATTGGGCACTTGAGATAACATATTTAATGGAAAAACATTCGCCATTCCTATCAATTATGAATTAATAAAAACGCATGTGGCCTACTTTTAATTCGGACAAAACTTGTTCATTTCTATTCTTTGTCATGCATGATTCGCTTTCCTAAAGTACACGGCGTGCGACCGAAAATATCTTCATCTATGTTTTATGAATAAATGAAGGACACTTTTACACAATGAACTATATTGAAAACTGAATGTTTTCACATTATTATTATCATTTTGGCACATGCATTATTGATGCAATTGAATTCGCAGTTTTGACATATCTTGAGAAAATATTGTGACACCTGATATTTGTATGTATCCTTAGCCAGAGTGGTCTTTATTTAAAATCAAAAACTAATTCTCCAATGCAAACTCTTGAATTGACTTTTTTGTGCATAAAGGTTTGTGAAATCAAAAAATCATAAATAAAAAAGTTCGGTATAAAATATGACACAGAGGCTGTGGTGAATGTGGAATGTAACAATGGATTTTAGTGTTATTTAGTCCATTCGTATCAATGGCGTGTTAAATTCAATGTAATAGGTCATTTGGCCTATTTTCCTCATAAGGATTTATAAGCGACCTAAAACGTCTTTTTATAATGCTTCCTCGTATCGACCGATCTGTGACGTGTTTCCAGCCTCTGCCCGAGAGTTGAAAATGAAGTGTTTTTGATGTTTCTTATGGTGCATTACTGATTTGGATTTCGACCGTATAACTTATATTAAGGTTTAAGAGTATATTTTCTAGTCTAGTACACTGGCCTCGGAGTTTAAGAAAATTTCTTTATATCTGCTTCGGATTTAAGTTCGATTGTACAACTCTTGCAATATACGAACATTTGGCATTGCAATCCATTGTTTGCTCATTGGCCTCTGAGGATTCAGTTGGGGTTATACTCCGTTAAGTACGTTTAAAAGTACTGAGGTAGAACACACAGAGTATGGACCCAGGCAGCAATGGAGTTCAAGCTAACCCGTTGTAATGTTGTGATAACAACTACCCCGCTCTCGATATTGTTTTGGGAGTTAAACGGTAGAAGCAAATGGGTAACGTTTACATGTTCAGTGTTAGAGCTATATAACATGTTTTTTGAAATGAAGGATCCGGTAATTAGTGAGTTCGATACGAAAGGTACCCTGTCTTTAAAATCATATTACTGCGCATGAAATGTTCTGATAAAAACTTTACCGATCGATTCATCATTAATTTTTTTTTATCTGGTACGTCTTTAAATATTTATGGCTCGTGGATTATCATTTGTACTCATTTCAACGCATACGAGATGGACGACACATTTCCAAACTTCCAATATTGATTAGGTATTGGAGTGAAATATAGTATTCAGAAAACAAAACGCAGAAGTGAAGGCAGCTTTCAATGCACTCACGGACTGTTGGAGTTTCGAGACATCCACGATATCATTAAACTATACGAAAATTGTTACGCTGCTCGATTGATAAGAGTAATTTAAATTTATGTATAGCATTTTCAAATGATTAAACCGTAGTAATTTTTTAATTTTATTGAAATTGACCTGAACTCATACCACTAAAATTTTAATACAATTTTCTGAAGAGTACAATTCTAGCGTCCGACATTAAAAAAATGATTTTATTTTGCGATCGCTTGTTAATTTGGGCTATGCACTAAAACTATATAACATCTTCCAAATATTAATATTACTGCAGCCAAATACCGAATCAGTGTATTTTTCGTGATGTCATATAATCAGTGCCCTGACAAAGGCTTCTGCTCCGAAAGTAAAAGCTTGGCCGTGGTAGCTCAAGGAAACCTAACACATATAAGTCCTAAAGACTCAAAGATGTCAAAAGTCTTTTTATTTTGTAATGTTCAGTAATAATTAAATATTTTGGAATGAAAAAACGCAATGCTGATGTCGGAAACTCATTAAAAAGGGTTTTGAAGAAACCTCTTTAAACATTAATTTTTCATACAGAATGAGTTGCAGTGTGTACATGAGTCACAATTTTAATACCATAATTTAAGTATGTGCGGTGAATATTCATAACTTCGTGCATGGTATAATATTTATATGATACTATAATTTAATTTTCACTCCGCATTACCATTTGAAGAAAAATATTGCATTTTATACCACATTAATTTTTAATGAAAGAAGCACTTGAATATTGAAAACGAATTTGTCCAGATCATCTTAATTTAATACGTTACAGACATAAGACTGATGAGTATAAAATTATTTAGAGGTCGTCGAAACTTACCTGATGCTTTAATCGCTACCAAAATACCTTTGCCTCAAAAACTGTCTTACGACTGTGAATTCTTGGAATGCTCAGGGTTATATGTATAACGTAGAGAGCAATGCTTAAATATATCGACAGAAGTTCGCGTACATGTCCGTTACGGTAGGGCAAGCAAAACAGAAACGGTCAGATAAAATGTTTCGATATTGCTTTCTCGTGGATCACGAAATATGAAGTCTTTTTTTAAAATATATTATGCATTTGCACTCTGTGTTTTAGTTTGATTGAGGAATCAAGGTGAAAGTGATCGCGCCATCAATACCTGACCAACTTTGAGGACAAATTATATTGTTATGTAATGAATAAATGTATACTTCACGAATCTGGGACCAGGTTTTCATTCGCTTAGTATGCATTCCTTCCAGAAGACCAAAAGTTATGCAGAAAAATCCCAAACATATTACTGGCAAAGCAACCCTACCGTTGTACCTTGATGTTACATAGATATAGTTCATCCTGCTAATCGCTATGAATACGCGAGTCATCACAACGCATATTATTCTCTGTAGGTTATCGGGCTCATGGAGATATGTGCGAGAGAGGTGTTAGACTTCTGGCTATTTGCAACAGTTCGTGTTGACTTTATGCTGTGTACTTCTCTTTGCCAAATCCCAATACCCTTACGTTCTCTGGCCATCCCCTCCCGTGCAAAAAAAAAAGACGACGAGAAAATCAATCGTTTACTAGCAAGCAGACCATATTTAAAGCTGCTAGTTTGGGCGTTGCAGATTACACATTTTGGGTGTCAAACGGGTCTACCATAAAAAGTGATAATCTTTCAATTCGTTGATGCCTGGATATGTATATGTTTCCTATATATTTTCCACAAAATAACTGCATCACTACGGTATAAATTGTACATTTTTTTCTAAATTAGCAAACCTTGTTTTGGAGGTTAAAGACTTAGTGTTTCGAATTTAGACGAATTCCTTCATTCGACTGAATTCTTTTTTTAACCTTCTAAATAAACGGTAAATATCTAGGACAAGAATTATCAATCTGATGGGAAAACTAAACAAATATCAGTTTCATAAAATTTTGAACCGGCTTCATTATGGAGCAAGTCTTCACATTTCAAAAACCATTTACAATGAATAATAATAGTTCAAAATTGAATGTTGGGGCTCCAGGCCCCTAAGTTTGCCCAATGGTAAATCTGGCCCTGCCCCATCTCAACCAAGGTGCAATAAATTCAGTAGGCAAGCCGGAAAAATTCCGGTGCTTTCAAATAAATAATAGCTTCTTACATATTAGCTATCAGTGGCTGACTGTACCTGGCCGTAATCAGAATCCGGACTCCCTGAAAAAAATCCTTCTTTCGAGTAGATATCTCCAAGCCCGGGCAATGTAAATTAATTTATTAATATAGAATGCTCAAATCTATCACAATACCGAATAGTATTCTATCTTTGTAGTAACGGTTTTTAAATAGTGGGAATTACCCACCACATTGATAGATTAAAATTTAAAAATGCAATATTGTAGCCTAAATGTATTACTATCTTTATACAATATTTAATTGGGAATGTCCTGAGCAATTAAATTCAAGAATTTTGACAGAATTCTGTTTGTATTGAACTGTTTAAAATTTATGCGATCCCTAAATACGTACTGATATGATAAATTAATTAAGACTTCATTATATACTTTAATAGTAAACGGTGGGATACAAAAATGCATATATAAAACAGCATTAAATAATTATTAATGTGAGAGTGCCGAGTAGATTATATTGCCGCATTCGGGATTTTGTACTGAGTAACAACCAAATATTCATTTTCTAATTACCAAATCTTGATTTTCTGTTATTATTGTTATATATCTACCCAGAATTGGCCTTGCTCAATATGTTTTGCATAATGCCTGGCAATATTTGGCCGGATATGATTACCTGTCTTTACCGAGAGCGGCAACTTATTTTGATCGATCGTGGACTCAAATATTACCGACACTCCATCAAGCGAGTGTCGATCTTGGACTATAGGATCATCGACTTGAATTTCAAAAATATATAATCTTTTGGGAGTGCAAAATAAATTTCAAAAAACGCCTCGTTTTGCGGCATAACTCTGTATTTTCGGAGAAGGAAGAAGGTGTGTGACATAAAAGTACGGTATTTAAAGATTGCGTAAATAATCTTTGATCTGGATTTATCGCAAATAATGTTATACCTTTTAACGTCAACATCATTTTAATTTAGGAGAAATCTTAGGCCGCCAAAAATCATTTAATGTAAAATGAAGCATGGTAATAGAAATATCGCCAATAAGTCGGCATCAGTACTTAATATTTTATGCTCACTAAGTAGTGAAGTTGGAAAACGCAAAAATGGTGTAATAACGAGTCTTCGCCGTTTTCTCAAGTGCAGTTTTTTAAGTATTTCGTGGCGTCTGAAGCTGCCGCAAAACCATGGCGATGTTTCCAAACCATGGCCGCTATGGCCAAACTCGTGGCGACTGACTTTATAGCTGCCACAGACCAATGGCGAGCCGCCGATACCGCGGCAGCAAATTGAAAACCAATGGCGGGTAAAATTTTGCTGCCGTAACCACGGCAGCTCGGCTGTAAAGACAGGGCTGCCCATGATGGCGACAAATATATTGGGTAAGTTGGAACAATTTTT